TGTGAATACTATGACAGGCGCTGACATGCATAACTAATCTTTATATGTACATATGTATGTATGTTGAGGACCTAAAAAGCTATAAAAAGGCAAAAGTAGGCAGGAAAAAGGTACTAAAAATAGCATAAAAAGTACTGAAAACCGTAAAATTGGCAAAACGGGAGATTTATTTAGAAATGGTTATTTTACAAGAAATGTGGAAAACCAAATTATAAACTTCATCGTTTCATAATATAAAAGGTTTGTAGTTTGCTTAACACGCATCCGTACCTATTGTCAATTTGACACGAAAAGCTATTATTCCCTTATTTTTTTTTTCTTTTATCTGTATTGTTTCACGGCGCACTGCTGACTTTTTAAAAAAAAAAAAAAAAAAAAAAAAAAAATTTAATTTTTTTTTAAATCTTAAAAATCTTTTTTTACCAAACAGTTTATTAAGTAATATGTGTTAGTATTTATATAAAATTAGTTTGTAATTCAAATTAAATAGCCTTAGATTTCAGTACGCGAAATATATACATATTTAGATATAGACTTGCGATTAGGTAATTCAGCCAGCAACGTTTTGATAAATTTTGGCTATTTTGCTCTTCTCTATCTAACACTTATTATTTTCTCATTAAAGTGTAGCTCATTGTATAACAAACGCCATAAAAATCCAAATTTCAAACTTTGTGTAAAAATTATACAAAATCTGCAAAGCTTCATCTGAATTTGTCGAATATTCTTTGTATGGATGAAAATCCGTGAAGGCGCGATTTTTTAGCAACTTAAGACTTGCATCACCAGAATGTAATGGGCCAAAAAACTGCATACTAAAAAAAAAAAATCTGGAAAATCTGAAAAAATTATGAAAATTTAGATGAAACTTTGCAGATTTTTTTTTTTAATTTTTGCACAAAGTGTGAAATATAGATTTATAGGGTGTTTGTTACATAATAAGCTAGACTTTAATGAAAAAATAATAAACATGAAGTAAACGAAAGAAAAATAGCCAAAATTGATTAAAACATTGTTGGCTTAATTACCTGATCGCAAATGTATATGTATATACATATATTCATATGGGTCATTCCATATAAAATTTACACCTCACTGGCAGTGCATGCCGGGGCGGTGAAGCGTGATATACGGAGGTATGAAAAAACTCGTAACATCTACAGTTTTGGTAAAATTTGGCAACTATTTAGATTGCAAAAAAAAAAACAAAAGTCAAACAGTTAACAATTAATAAAACAAGTTATAAAAAAATAAAATCTTTTAATGAGAGATTTGATCTCACACTTTAATGCCAAGCCGAGGTAACTACGCACATTTTGATTACTTAACTGATTTTCTCCGACAAACAGTTTATTAACTGCAAAAAATAAAAAAAATATACTTCTTTGTAAGTTGAGAATTTCCGAATTTGTTTTTGTCGAGATTTCCGAATACCGTGATGAAATAAAAAATATGTGTATTTTTTTAGAAGAGGAATGTAAAAAAATATATTTCGCACCAAAAATATATTGTAGTGGATGCTTTCCATTTCCAGACAACCGGTCAAGTACGAGCATGATTTTTAATTTCGACCAAACTCAAATACATTGTTTGTTGGTCCAAATAATGAGACACGTATTTTTTCTTTTGGCTCGGAAAAATGTTTCCTCCGAATTAAACGCGATTTTGTTTTTCAGGCAAAAATCGATTATTCGAATTGACAGTGAGAATTTTTTTTAAATGCCCATAACTTTGTCAAAATTTAATAGATTCCAACAATGTTTTTACTCAAATGTCAGTAATTCTTGTCACTTCAAGATAGAATGATATAATTATTGATTTTTATTATTTACAATTTTTTATTTAACAATAAACAAAAAGTGCAAATTTTATTTTAAATTTAATTTCTCAAAAAGTGTATTTTTTTTCTCTCAAACTTTTTTACCGTGAAAGAGACACTTTGAACTACAATCAACCCAAATCTCTAATAGCGAAGATTTGTTTTTCTGAGTTATGATTTTTTATAGAAAATATACGTTTTTGGAGTACATAATACAATATTCTTATATTGTTTAATTAAATGGAACATATGTATGTAATATATCAGCAAAAAGTACAGCCGTGATCATTTTTTGTGTATCAAATAGATATTAGAAAACATACAGTTTCGAAATACAAAATCACATTTTCCCGCTTTTTATAGTCGAAGCTGTATGGTGGAAAGTGTGTTCTAATATCTATTTGATACACAAAAAATGATCACGGCTGTACTATTGTCTCATTATTTGGACCAACAAACAATGTATTTGAGTTTGGTCGAAATTAAAAATCATGCTCGTACGTGACCGGTTGTCTGGAAATGGAAAGCAGCAGTGTAAATTTTTTATAGAGTGACCGATATACATATATAACAATACACTTAGGTTTATTTATTACAGATATTATCATCAAAAATTCATGACAAGTTTTAACTAAGTACATAAATACAATTATTACGCTGGTCAGAATTTCAGCCTGCACTACTGGGGGCATGCAATAGTAGCGAATAATTCTTTTCTGGATTTTTCAGATACTGGTTTTCTGTTTAATCTCTCCTTTCCTTCGCCATCCCTCAATCATGGACGCCCTCTTTTGTTTGCGGCCTTCGGAGTTGGAAAAAAAATTTTTGCCGAGAGCCATTAGCTATGTTTAGGCCTACATATATACCAATATATCGCTAAAAACTGAATTCAATTCCATGCATAATTTTTTGAGTGATGCGCATACAAACAAACAAACAGGAAGACAAAAATTTTAAAAATTGTTGATTTGTTCTTGGTTCTCACTTATTAGTTTTTCTTTAATATCTATAATATCTATATTGTTACAATTTTATTATAGGGTTGTTCAGGATCTTGCATTTGCATATTTTGGTGCATTTGTAAATTCACAAAAATAAATGCATAAAATTCGGCAATGGAAATACAAATTCAAATCCATCACCATTTTCATAATATCCTGAATAGCCCTTATATGTATGGATTAGCTTTTTTAAATTCTAGCGCGTGGCAAAACTATATTTGTGCGGCAGATTTCCAATGCAAATAAGGAATATTTTATTAAAAATGAAACAGCTTGCCGAATCAAAACAGTCTGAGGAAAAAAGAAGGTGAGTGAGTGTACTTATATTACGGATGTTAATTTTCTGCTTTTTCCGATCCCGGGATTTAGATATTCATTAATTTTAAACGAATTAAATCGAAAAAAAATGCTCTATATTGTTTGAGAAGCTCTCCTACCATAAAGTAAATAATAAATAAATGGGTTAGCAACCTTCTTTTTTATTTAAAGTGGCCTTTTTATTTTTTCTCTCTGACATCAATAAATGTGGAATAAAAATATGGGTACCAAATCCAAGAGGAAATTTCTTTAGAATTTAAAAAAAATAAATTTTTTGGATTCACAAGGACGAGTAGGTAATTTTTTAAGCTGAAAAAGTTATAAAGGCGAAATTCGAGGATGTTATTGAGTTTATAAAAGTCAACATTAACACATAATTCTTTCAAAAACAAATAGTGCGAAATTTCAAGGATGCAATTTTCAAAGGACATTTTCAATACTTACCAGTCCCTCTGCGCCAAAAACTTGAATCTGTTTAAATTCTAAAAAATCTTTTTTGAATTACTGAAGTCAGAGTGAAAAACTAAAAACGCAATTTTACTATATTTGGCCCATGGTTTCGCGAATATATTGATATTTGTGTTTAAAATTTACTATCGCGCGCTGTTATATGTATATTGAGCTAGACATTTATAAAAAAATATTAGCTTTAAAAAAAAAAATATTTTCAATACTGGTCCAGGAAAGGAGCTTCTGTTATTGCCATCAGTGCAAATTGCAAATCCCGAAAATCCCGGGATTATTTGCAGTAATCTATGCGACCAGGAATGAAATCGAAATCCCCCTAGAACTCCAGATTGTCCCGTCCTTAAAACGGTCAACCAATCGGTTTCTCTGAACCTAGTAGCTGCTCCAGCTGCGACAGTGTTGCCTGCAATGGCGACAGGCACTATCTTGATCATTACTTGAAATGCCAAGGGTGGTCCGTAGTGACCCACTAATACCAAGTTAGACATACTATTGTACGTGCTCCAAGCTTAGTTTGTGTAGCCTCTTCAAGTGAGTTTCAGCAGACGAGGGCACCATAAAACCTAATATGCTTGACTACGGTCTCGTAGAGCCAATAGACAACTTTGGGCGAAAGAACCCATTTCTTTCCAACAGCTCCCCTACAGCAGCATAATGCCACTTATGCCTTCCCTGCGCTTCCTGTCAATGATCAGGCCCAAGTACTTGACCTTTTCAGATGGCTGTAAGCGCTGACCTCCAACAAAGGGAAGAGCAGCTTCAGCGTTCATACCATGTAGTCCGTGGTTTTAATTAATAATAATTGTTAGCCACATCTACTTGAATGATACTTAATACTTCCTAATATACACACTTAATTTGGTCAAACATTTTCTTTCTGTTTACACTTTATAAATTCTGCTAAACAAATTCCTTGGAAGTGCCTTCAACGCTTATAACAAAATTAGTCAACTGCAATCTTGTCGAAGACGTCTTCATATAATTAGCAGAACTATAAATTTGAAGCGCAAACTGTCACAAAGGCAAACCACAATTTTAATGAATAAAGAAAGCGAGCAGCAGACGAAGGAAGCGTATAAGGAGGAAGCGTGTCGAAACTGGAAAACCCGTAAGTTAAAAAAATACTTTTTCTGCTAAAAAAAAAATTAAATGTTCATTCAGATTACACAAGCTTTGCGACAAAAATCCTGTTAATACATACATACAAACATAGCAGTCTGGCCAATTTGCCCAAAGTAATAGCAGAAAAGAAGGGTTGAGAAAACGAAAAACAGTTAAAACAAGTAAGAAAGTCTAAGTTCGGGTGGAGCCGAACATTAAATACCCGGCGCAAGTATTAAATAAATGTTTTTTCACCTTTCCGAAACTTTCCGCTAGATGGTAAGCCGGGGTGTATCAATTTTGAGTAAATTAGCGTCCTTCAATTTCGAAATATTGAAGTTTCAAGNCTGATCATTTATGTATACATTTGTCTATATCTATCTCGATTCGTTTTGGCTGTTACAAACAACCGTTATGTGAACAAAATTAATATACCCTTGTGCACAAGTGCGCTCGGGTATAAAAATGGACATTTTACGATTTCACTTTGGCTCAATTTTACTGCGCGTGCTCACTTGAAACACTTAAGATTTATACGATTACCCTCCTCTGTTACATCTTCTTTATTGCATGAAATGACTTTTTCCATTTTAGGTGGCATCCGACGCGGCACACGCACCGATTTCCTGCATAATGGCAGCTTTCATGAGGCGGTTGGACCGGGTGAGTTAATTATTAAATTTTTTTCTTTTTTTGTGTTTACATAAATTCATACAAAATTATATTAATTTGTAATTAAGTTCATCCCATTTATTTGAATTGTTTAAACATTAAATGCATTTTTGTTATTTTTTACTTGAGTTTACTAAGAGAAATTTTACTTTTTACTGAAATATAATTATCAGCTAAGGTAATTCGCGGTAAAATTCAGTCGCACAAAAAAAAAATCAACCATACGAAATATTCTATCCTTTTCAATCACTTGTCTTAAAAATCGAAATTACTGTACTTATTTAAATGGAGCGGGCCTCATTCCGTTCTTCAAAAAAATTTTATATGTAAAAAAATTTAAAATTAACCTTAAATAAACCCTGCATTAAAATGTAACCCTCTCAGATGACCCTTTCAATACTTGCGATATTAAATCATTAAAGCATGGTTATTTAAAATTTAATCCATAAAGTTTCCTAAGATTACGAGCGAAATATGTGAAATAGATGCCAAAGTGTCATAACAGATTGAAATTGACATTGATGTAGGTACAATTTTCATATACACACATTTGTAATCATTTAAAGAAAAATTTCAGACTACGAAAACGATTTGCTCTACTTAAGGCACAAATAAATACAGCAAAGAGACAGATAGTGCAAACATTGGTAAACACATACATGTATGCACATTAGACTGCATCACTCTCCATACAAAAAATAAAAAAAGAACGGAACTGTATTTCCATTGGAATTGTAAAATCAATTATATTTTAAGACGTCGAAATATTAAGATTTACGTGAGCTAGACCGATTTGAAAATACCTCAAAAAATGGAGTTTTTTATGAATAAAAATAGTTTCTTAATTTTTTTTAAATGCCCTCAAATGACAAAACGGTTTAAGCTTACAAAATTTGCATTGAAATATTTTTTAAAAATGTTGAACCGAATCGTAATAATGACGGGTTTGATGCTGTTTTTTTTTACTTTTTTCAAAGATTGGTTTAAGAAAAACTTGTATAACTGAACCTAAGCTCTTCCGATTTAGACTTTTGAGGTATCATTGGAAAGGTATTTTCTCAGCCTTTTTATCTTTGCTAATAAACTCATTCAAAGTATGAAAGAGAAAGGTATGATGAACGAACGTCATTCAAAGTTGAATTTAGATGTGTTGGTATTAAAAAAAGGGACACGAATGACTTTCAATCTCTCTACTGAGATCCCATAAGTCTAAATCAGAATATTTTTGGCTCAGTTATTCAAGTTTTTCGTAAACCAATCTTTGAAAAATATAAAAAAAAAAAAACATCAAACATTTCATTATTACGATTGCGTTCAAAATTTTAAAAGTTTTTTTTTAAATATTTTTATGCAAATTTTTTAAGCTTAATCTCCTTTGTCATCTGAGGGAAAAAAGTTCTTTAAGAAACTATTTTTATTCATAGAAAGCTCCATTTTTGGAGGTATTTTCAAATAGGTCCAACTCACGTAATATATTACGTATCTTAATATTTTTCCGAGATATTTTGGTGGAAGTCTTAAAATATAATAGATTTTATAATTTCAGTGGAAAAATAGTGCCGTTTTTTTTTGTCAGGGCAGGACAATTTATTTTTTACCTGTGCGTATAGCATAGGAGGATTCTACGTTTAATTCTAAATGAATTTGCTGAAGAATTCATTCGTCTAAAATCAGTTTGGAGTTTGCCAGATTGCGAAATAAGGGTTTCGAAGAAGTATTAAGAAAAAGATAATTGCAAAAATGGATTCCGCATACCATAAAACCCCTTACTTAAAGCATGTTTTTATACAAAATTTAAGCACTTTGCGAAACTACAGCGAAATGCTCAGAAACCTATTCGCAATCGCAATTTGACAAACTCCAAATTTATTTTAGACCAATTTTTCTTCGACAAATTCGCTTAGAATTACTCGTAGAATCTTTCTGTGCTATACGCGCGTAGTCGAAAAATTCTGTCATACAAATAGACCCACCCTAATATACATACACACACAACGAATCGATTTGTATATTATTGATACATATGTATGTATGTAGGTAACTCTTACTTAATCCCGTCAAAGAAATTTTCTTTAAGCCTGTCTACTCTGGATTCGTAATGACAAGATGTGCAAGACAAGAGATTTTTTATTTTTTTTTTAATTTGCACTCCACACATCTCATCTATTTACTTGTGCTCATGGGTGAATTGGTTTTCGCCCGCAGCTGCGATTTGAAATGTAACACAAAAAAAATATATTTCATCGAAATAACAACTTTTGGTAAAAAAGTTGCTTCTTATATCCAGCTTACAGAAAATTATAAATTTCTCAGCAAGTCTTTATATATTTTCGAATATATGTAGATGTTTTATAATTATTTTTTATAAATCGATACTTTTTGTTTCATGCAAATATCTCTTTCTTGTATTTTATCTGGAATATGATGTATATTATTATTTTTCTGCTAGATGTAATGTCTGTTATGTTGATGACACTTTAATTTGCAGTAGCCCTTAACGGATGGCATTCAGAAATAAAATTTGGTAAATTTACTTACATACACATAAGTGTTTAAGACAATCTTATCTCAGCAGCCCGCGCATATTTGTCTTTACACTATTTTCACACAGATGGCATTTCATACTTATGGCATAACATACTTATATTTTCATGGCATGACATAAAATTTTCAATATTGTGTGAGCAAGCGCGGGCCCCTTCGCGCTGAGATACCATTTTCATATCCAAATATTCACGTAAGGTTTGATACACCCACTAAGTTGAGATTCTTAAAGACTCAGCCAACACACACACTTTCACACTTTACACACTTTACGACAGAACTCACTAGACTACTTTTAAAATCCTTGAATTTGATGGTTCGGAATCGCCATAGTATATATTAAGGCTTTGCTTGGTTTTAGTGACAGACTTTTTACGCAAAAACCAATGCCTCATCAGCACACGAAATTCACTTTTTACCAATTTCGTTAAAAATCTATTCAATTTTTCTCCGGTGATGCCCACTTTTGAGACTGCTAACGGGGATTTGTCTGCCTCGGTTTTAATGGAAATATTCAAAATACCATTAGGAGCAGAGGCTTGTTAATTTCAAAGTGTTTGCAATTGGCTACAAAACTCTGTGAAACAAAATTTATTTTTGTTAATTTTTTTCTTCCTGCTTTATTGGATTAAGTTCGTAGGCAACCTTATTCAGCTGTCCACCAACAGACGATCTTTCGACTTTCGGTTGTCTGACTAGCGTCGTCAAATTGCCAAACCCAAAATGAAATCGCAATTAATTTGTCTTCTAGCGAATGTTGGTCGTGGAGTCGCATGGAGACCATCGCTTCGCTTGGCGTTTCGAGTCTGCTTGGCGTTGTTGCCTAGACTTCTCTGTCAACTGCATTGACGCTAGTTACTAGTTATTCTACCAGTTGGTGTAGATAAATAACATACAAATTTTGATTTCGTATTACTGCATCAGCTGCTGGTATGAAAAAAAAAACATCGAAGACGGACTGGTTGAGCTGAGCTGAAAAGTTAACTAGTGGGCTTCTAATTCAGTACTACCGGCTTTCACTGCAGGGTTGCAGTACATACATGTTAGCTCGTCAATGTGTAGCTATTTATGTATGTGTTTGCCTATGATAAGCTACTACGATAAACCCTTAAAGTACTCGTACAAACATAATTCGCATTTATAGCCAATGTAAAATTTTTGACGCACATAACATTTTATTACGTACAGCTCTTTTCCAATATTCATATTTACGCACCTGACCCACCATTTATATACTTTGTATAGAGTAGTTGCACATATCGATGGTTCTCTGCAATAACGACACAACTCAAAACTTCCAAAAAAAGCTTTTAATGCTGTTACTTTAGTAAGGATTAAACATGGATTAGGCAAGGAAGAGAGACATGAGCCCCTAAACAGTAGAAAGGGTTTCAACCTTATTTTTGGAGTTGTATTGTTATTGCAGAGTACCATCAATATGTACCTATGCATGTAAATAAATACGAATAAATGAAATTTATTTAATTTTAGTGCTTGTTATTGCTCAGTGCTTCTGTCTGATGCCAGTGCGTGGCATACTTGCTGACACGCCGAAAGGATTATCTTTTTGCTGGAAGAGCTTTCGTACCTGGTATTGCATATTGTATACATTGATTACTATAGCTGATACCGGACTAACCGTAAATATGGTCGTAAAAGGTGTGCTGGATGTGAGAAACATCGGTAGGTAAACGTTTACCACTGTGTAGAGCATATTGAAGATTCATAGTTAACTTACTTTCTTTCTCTTTCTCCTTTTATTTTTCTTCTTTCTATTTTACTTTTCCTTTTTCTTCTTTCTTATTCTTTTTCTTTTTCTTTTTCTTTTTCTTCTTCTTTTTCTTTTTCTTTTGTTTTCTCTTTCTTTTTATTTTTCTTTTTCTTTTTATTTATTTTTTGTAATATTTTTTCTTTTTCTTTTTCTTCTTATTTTACTTTTTAATTTTCTTTTTCTTTTTGTTTTAATTTTTTGCTTTTGTTTTTGTATTTTATTTTTTTTCCTTTTACTTTTACTTTATCTTTTCCATTTGCTTTTTTCTTTTTTTCCTTTTTCTTTGTCCTTGTCTTGTTATTTTTCTTTCCTTTCCTTTTTCCTTTCCTTTTTCGTTTGTTTTTATTTTTCTATTCTTTCTTTTCCTCTTCTTTTTCTTTTGTTTCCTTTTTATTTTTCAATTACATTTTATTTGCTTTATATTTTTCTTTTACTTTCTTGTTTTCCCCCTATTGCTCCTCTACTTTCCTGCTGCCATTCTTAAATACATATTTAGAACCTTTGATATTTCATGCCAATATACTTTTGGCTTCAATTGGTTTTTTGCGCTTAGCCGCCAAATGGCCAAAGTTAATGCGAAAGTGGCAACGTGTGGAACGCCAGCTGCCACCACATCAGACGTGGCGTGAGCGTGAGGCATTGTCAGTGCGCGTTCACAAGGTGACTTTTGTGCTGATGACTTTGTCGCTGAGTAAGTTACTTAAGACAACAACAACAACAACAACAACAACAACAACAACAACAACAACAACAACAACAACAACAACAACAACAACAACAACAACAACAACAACAACAACAACAACAACAACAACAACAACAACAACAACAACAACAACAACAACAACAACAACAACAACAACAACAACAACAACAACAACAACAACAACAACAACAACAACAACAACAACAACAACAACAACAACAACAACAACAACAACAACAACAACAACAACAACAATAAAATAGCTTGAAAAACGCTACTTTGCTGTTAATTCGCATTCATTTCTTCTGATTTCAGCTGAACACCTGCTAAGCACCATTTCAGCTATTCACTTTGCCAATTATTGTCCTTCTCGTAACGATCCCATCGAATCCTATTTCATGTCGGTTGTTTCACAAATTTTTTTCGTCTTGGACTATTCACCTTGGCTGGCATGGATTGGAAAAATTTTGAATGTGCTGATGACATTCGGTTGGAGTTACATGGATGTGTTCCTAATGATAATAGGCATCGGACTGTCGTCGTTGTTCGGACAGGTGCAGAGCAGTCTGCATCGCGTAAGAGGGCAGGTAGTAGCATATGAACTATGCATTTGCCAATTTCATTTGTCTTCATTTTCAGGTTATGCCCGAGTCATATTGGACACGTACACGCCTGCAATATCGCCTTATTTGTGATCTGATAGAGCAGGTGGATGCTGCTGTATCTGGCATAATTATGCTTTCGTTTGCTAATAATCTTTATTTCGTCTGCATACAGCTGCTCAAAAGCATGAAGTAAGTCAATTTCTAAAAAAAAGAACACACAAAAATTGTAGATCCCCAGCATACATATGTAGAATAAAAGCTTGGCCATTTATGATAGCGTGTCTTTAATACTAGGTCAATTGGTCTCCAAAACCTTTATAATCCATGCACTTTTAAAATCCAAGCACTGACTAGTACTCGCCGTGCCATCTGTCGTT